ACTCAGTTCAGCAGTTAGTTACTATACCCGAATAGTACTATACTATACCCGAACAAAGCTGAATACTATACATACATACATACATACATACACCATGTATGTATGTATGTATGTATGTATGTATGTATGTATAGTATTCAGCTTTGTTTGGGTATTTTCCTATGTCCCAAAGTCATCAAACAATCCGAATAGACACAAGCTGTTTCTTTTAACACTTTCTTCTTTTTTCACTTTCTCTTCTTGGGGTTGCTATTTAATTACAAAGTTCCAGTTAAAATGTATCTTTTAGAAGACTTGTTAGAGTTTAATCAGATTCTTTTAAATTCCAGGCAGTCTCCTCCTTCCAAATCTTATTCAAATTATTTTCCTCTCCCTTCCCACTTACAGCAAGAAAAAAAAATTTTTTTTTAATGTTCAGAAATCCTTATTGTCCCCTTGACATTTAATTAATTACCTCTTGATGCCAAAGCGGGTTTTTCCAATTTCTCATTCATCTCTGTTCACTGTCAACGTAAGGAAGGAGACTGAAAAAAAAAAACCCTTTCCCTTTTCACTTTCATTTGCTGCTTCCGAATCTTCTTAGGGAACGATGTATCTTTTTAAAAATTTAAATTCCAGGATACCTTGATTGTTGCTTCTTATCCCGGTCAGCCAAAACTTTCACTTCTTAACTTCTTCCTGCACTTTCTTTTCCAGATGAGTGCTTCTTTGAGGTGGCCATTTCTGACCGCCACTTGTTCGCCTTCAGGAAAGGGAGTTTAGCCAGCTGGGGAGGAAAGATGCGGCTTCCCTCGACCCTTCTGGAATCTCCCCCCTCTTTGCCATCTCTACGGGGTGGCTTAGCCCTGAAGCCAGACTGGCTTGGGATGCTCCAGTGGCAAGCCCAGGCAGAAACCGTGCACAATCGTGGATTCCTGCCTGTCGCTGAAGCGCTACAAACCGGAACTCTCCAGGCTATGTTGTTATTTCTTGATTGGTTCGTGGAGTCGATGTTTGCAGATTGGTTGGCTTTTTCATAAGAACCTGTGTGGCTGAGGTACTGGCTGTGTGTCTTTCAGTCTCCTGGGTTGTAACAACCTGGGTAATGGGCTGTGTGATGACCTTCTGAGTTCTATTGTTGTGACATCCTGGGTCTTGTGCTATAATCTCCTGGGTCGTTGGCTGTGTTGCAATATCTTGAGGTTTGAGATGCTACCCACATGACCTCTCAAAGAGTAAATCTTCATTGAATTTCTCATCCAATCTCATTGGAGATGTACCCCATTCTGAAATTAGACAAGAAACCATGGATGGAAACTTATCAAGGAGAGAAACAGCCTTGATTAGCTTAGAGAGGGCTGTAAAGCACTTTGAAGTGGTATATAAGTCTAAATGCTATTGCTAAATGCTAAATGCTATCTGTTATATGTTTTTCTCATGATGGGCTAGATCCCAGGCAAGATACAAAAATCAAAGTAAACCGCTCCAAACTCGACTGCAGAAAATACAACTTCAGCAACAGTGGTCAATGCCTGGAACTGACCACCTGACTCTCTTGTTACATCTTCAAAACCCCAAAACTTTAACCTTAAACTGTCTACTGTGGACCTCACTCCATTCCTCAGAGGTCTGTAAGGGGGCATGCATAAGCGCACCAGCATGCCTAACATCCCTGTCCTACTGTTCCTGTGTATTTGTACTCAATTATTATGTGTATATTTATGTATACTTATACATGTTTATATGTTATGTTCATACTTATACTAGTTTTCTCATACATGCTTGACAAACCAAACTAAATAAATAAAACAAATCATCTTCTCAGAAAACGGTACACCAGGAGGCCCTTAGACTGTCATGTCATTGTGCCAAATGCAAGCTGCCGCCTTTCATCTCTGCTTTCCTTTGAAAGTAATCATATTGTATCACATTGGGTCATAAGGAGCTTGATTTATTGAAGCCCATTCGTGAGACACCAAATCATTTTGGTCAAACAGCCAGCATTTCACAGCTTTCGGCTTTATCCCATTAAAATTTCAACGCTGTAATACGCAATTATGTGTATACTCAAAGTTAAGATATTATTTTCGATGTAGGCAAAAAGGAAGTATAAATTTCTCCCATTTAATTTGTAATATATCCAGGTTTGACAGTACTAATTTGCACTGCAAAGTAATTTGGACATCAGAAGCATATGTCTACATGAAAAGTAACTGCAGCTCGGACTCTGGGGAGCCGGGCTTAAATCTGTCTAGTTGCAGATACAGCTGATGTGCTCACCTTCATTTTTGACCCAATAATGATAATTTATGAAACCTGCTCTTTTCTTCTCCTGACAATTTGCTCCACTCAGGGAGCAAAGATATAGGTAAAATCCTTCTTTATTATTATTTTTCTCCTCTGGATTTCTTAGCAAAAGGGGAAGTGTCCTGATGAAGCATTTGATTCTCTTATTGTACTTAACTTCCTTGGTTTACCCCAGGGGTGTCAAACTCAAAGCCCTTGGACTGCATCCCACGGGGTGCTTAGACCTGGTCCTCAGGGCTGCCCTGGAAACAGCAAAGGACCAGCTTGCAGTGCAGCCCTTCCGAGTTCTGTTTTCACTGGCAGAGGGTTGCAGGTGGCCGTCGCAGCCAAAAACAGAGCTTGGGAGCCCGTTTTTGCTGGCAGAGGACTTGGGTTTCCACAGGTGCCCCCATTATGAATGACTTTGAGCTGGCCATGCCCACCCCACTCAAACAGAACTCTGATGCGGCCCTGAGTGAAGTCGAGTTTGACAGCCCTGCTTTACCCTTAGGAAATAAGACGTAACATATCTGGAATTGTTGATTGGATTTGGTTTCCAGATTTTTTGCTGCACAGCTGGGAAGCTGAGGTTGAAGGAAGGTCCTGAGCTCCATGTCAGAATGTTGGATGCAGGATATGGATTTTCCTCTTTTTTTTTTTGAGTTGTTACAAACTGTGATTTCCAGCCCTCCATTGGGATCTAGAACCATACTTTGCCAATCAGGAGGCGTGACATCATAAATCGAGTCTGTATATATGTGTGTGAATGCACACTTCCATACAAAGTACAATCCACGTGCATGGATTTCTTTATCGTACTACCTTCAGCTCCCTTCCAAAGCTGAGGTCCACCTCTACTGTCTTCCTGTGCATTTGAGGGGTTGGAGCAACCCCCTTCATTGCATCTTAGGCAATGAACGTCTGTGGAAATTCTCTTGTCATCCAGGTCATGGTTGTCCCAAAGGTGCTTTTACAAACAACAACTAGTCTTTTGTTTTGTTTTGTTTTGTTTTCTTTGAAAATGTTTCACTTCTCATCCAAGAAGCAGCTTCCTGAACGAGAAGCAAAAGATTTTCAAGGGGAATCCCCTCTCCCCCGAGAAAGTCTAGTTACCTTTTGGAAAAGCACCTTTAGGTCAATGAAATGGGCTACATTCCTGGAATGAAAGCTAAAGGGCCCATCCCATCTCCTTCCATCTCTATCTGTCATTTTTACTGAAATTTTAAAAGTAAGCTTCAGGTTGTGCAGAGGACAAGACCAAACGATTTACGTGGTATGTGATTGCCACCTCTGTTGCATTTTTCTCCAATAAAAATCCGATCCCAGATTCCTTCCTTTCCCACTTTCAAAGCATTTGACTTAAATTGACGCTAAATGGCTATAATATATCGAATAAGGAATTGACCTCCCCCTGAATAGGACAAAGCAATTCAATCCCAATATGATGGTCAGATCGGGGTGAAAGTAAAATGACTCTAATTTTCAATGGAGCTGCAGAGAATTTTTGTGATCTGGATAACAAGGCCTGGCCTGTAAACTTACAGGGGAATAACAGGTATAATGTGGTTTTAAAAGTAGTTCGTACAACCACAATAATTTCAGACCAATTGAGACTTCTCTGTGCAAAGAAATTTATTAAAAAATAAACTACAGGTATTCCTTGACTTACAACAGTTCATTTCGTGATCATTCTAAATTACAAGGCCACTGAAAAAAGAGACTTACGACTGTTTCCTACACTTACAATTGTTGCAGCATCCTAGTGGTGGGATTCAAATGGTGTTACTACCAGTTCGGTGACACAGTGCAGTGACTCACTTAACACTTGTGGCAAAGCAGGTCATAAAATGGGGCAACATTTGCTTCACTGCCTTACTTAGCAACAGAAGTTTTGGGTTCAGTTTTGCAGTCATAAGCTGAGGACTACCTGTAGTAATAGCTTAAGATTTCTAGTTGCTTGTGTACTAAGCTTCTGTTGAAACAGGGAAGAAGCAAAGTTGAGCACTAATGGCTCACATCTCCAAGTTGGCAAACCATATAGGATGTGGCAGTATGACCAAATGCTCCAATATCTCTGAGAGGTTGTTCAGTGGGTATTGAATACTCTAATAAGGGAGTGAAGCCAAGGAATGTAGGCTTCACTCAGGTCCGCCATTCTGGCGGGAAAATAGTTGAATCTCATTGGTTGAGCCATCTGACAGCTCCCTATAAAAGGGAGAGCTGTCAGACAGACAAGTTGCTGGGTTGTACTCAGTGGTGGGATTCAAAGGATTTTACTACCAATCTCTTCTTCTTGAAGTTCTCAAGTGATGGCGCTCCCACAACTTCTGAGGGCAAGCTGTTCCATTGGTTGTTTGTTCTCACCAGTTCTGTGGGTGTGGCTTGGTGGGCGTGGCAGGGAAGTATACTGTAAAATCCCCATTCCCTCCCTACTCCAGGGGGAAGGTTACTGCAAAATCCCATTCCTTCCCCACCCCACTAACCTGCTTTCCAGCTCCATTCTCCTGTGCAGGGCAACAAAAGAAGACCCAGCTGATCATCTGGGACTTGGGAGGCAGAGAATAGATGGGGGTGGGGCTAGTCAGAGGTGGTGTTTGCTGATTCTCCGAACTACTCAAAATTTCCACTATCGGTTCTCCAGAACTGGTCGGAACCTGCTGAATATCACCTCGAGTTGTACTGATCTACTGAATAAAGAGCTGTTTTGACCTGTTTTCCTTCTTTTCTCTCCATAGTCTCCCAACGTTCATAACTACCCAGATATGGAAGCTGTGCCCCTCTTGCTGAACACCATGAAGACAGAGCCAGAAGAAGATGCCTTGTGCACGGATCATTTCCAGACGCAGACAGAGCCAGTGGACTTGTCCATCAACAAAGCCCGATCCTCCCCTCTTGCCACCTCGTCTTCACCAGTATCAATCACAGCCTCTGCGTTGTCCCCCTCTTCAACTTCAACGTCTTCTAGTCGGCCAGCTTCGTCTCCAACGGTCATAACCTCAGTGGCATCGGCAACATCGGCCCCATCAGTATTAACTCCAGGTCCTCTTGTGGCATCTGCCTCTGGGGTTGGAGGGCAACAATTTTTGCACATAATCCACCCGGTTCCACCTTCGAGCCCTATGAACCTACAGACCAACAAAATGAGTCATGTCCACCGGATTCCTGTGGTGGTGCAGTCGGTACCGGTGGTCTACACTGCGGTGAGATCACCAGGGAATGTCAACAACACTATAGTAGTACCACTACTAGAGGACGGGAGAAGTCATGTCAAAGGTAAGAAGAACTCTTACAAAATAAGAGTAGCACAATGAAAGAATGCTTCCTGAATCATTCCGATTCAATCATCATTTGAAAACTAGCCTAAGAGTCTTCTTCTTCTATGTCTAAATCACACTTTAAACTGTGATAATGAAGCCACCGTCTTGGCTTTGTTGCTGGCTCAAAATAAATCATTTATCAGTACATGTTTCTTAGGGGTGTGATTCAACCAGTGTAATAACTGGTTTGGTGAGCGTGTGCATGCTTTGCGCATGCGCAGAGCGTTTGCTAGTGACCTTCTCCAGCAATCTCTGTGTTAAACAGCTGATGCATGGCAATCCGTTGTGCCGCAGGAAATCAGCTGAGCTTGAAAACCAGGATATAAAGTACGGACTAGAGCCAAGGTGGGTGGGTGGGCCAAACAGCTGATCATCAGAGTGAACTGGTTTGTTCATAGCTGATCCTTGGAGATACCAATTCACCTGAACCAGGCCAACTTGGTAGAATCCCACCCCTGATGTTTTTGGAAGTAGCTGACATACCAGCAGATGGGCCGGTCTCCATGTCTCTCCACATTCACATACAGTAGAGTGCTATTATCCACTAAGAACCTCTACTTGAGTATATTGTTTTTATGTTTAGGTATTCCAACTCTCAAACTAGTCAGGGTCCTCTAAGTAGTATAAGGAAGGTTGATCTTCAGCTATATCCTCCCTTAATGTTATTCCTTGCTCGATGGTCTCCTTCCACCATTTTTAAATTCAATTTTGTTCTTGATTCTCAATTTTGTTCACCAACCAAAGACAAATGTGTATTAATTGCCTTTTGGGCCAGTTATTGGAGAGACTAGCTAATGAGCCGCACAGATGGTATACCAGAGTATTTATAACTCAATTTCCAAGTGGAACTTTTTGAATTCATATCCAGCCATTTGCTGTGAATTCCCTCAGTGCCTTAGATAAATTCCTGGCTTGTCCCTTCCTTGCCTCTGCATTGGAGCTAATAGAATTGATTTATCTTACAGATTTGTGGTGAGAATTGTTGTGAGAAAATGTATGTGCATGCCTGGTCACAATGTTGTCTTTAGAAGAAATAAATTGTGATTTGCAGTAGTTTCAGAATAGTGGGAGCTCTGCGTAAACTCTCCATTGGGGGAATAAAAGGAGTCCCTGCAAGTTTTACTCTGCTAGTCTTAAACAATTTTAGGGACAGTGTTCATCTCGGTTTCTAGGCCATTGAACCAGCGCTATCTCAAGATATTTCATCAGTCATGTGGCTAACATGATGTGCTGCAGTGCGGAGCATGTGATGAAACATGGAGTACTGTCACTTCCCCCCCCCCAAAGTGGTACCTATTTATCTACTTGCATTTACACACTTTCAAACTGTTAGCTTGGGAGGAGTTGGGCCGAGGACAGGATCGTCTGGCACTTGGGTCTCAAATCCAGGCTGCCAGCTTTCCAGTGATAAGTCCAGCATCTTAACCACTGAGCTATCGCATTTGTTGGAAGAGTAGCGAGGCCAAATGCAAAATGTGTTGGATGCAAGGATAGAAGTATGGCATTTGCACCACAATGTCACTATGCACTTGATGTAGAATGCCCATGGATTATCTTTAAAAATTACCTGGTAGATGGAAGGAATTGTCATCAAATTGGAAAATGGAAATTTAGGCATATTGTGTAAGCAGCAAAAAAAAAAAAAAAAGTCAAAATGACTTCAACGGATTTGGACATTTGGCCCAATCCGACATGGTAACTAATAATGTCAGGTCCTGCACCTGCGTAGGAAAACACCAACCAACAGGGAGAAAATTCTGAGACTGGCTTGGTAGATTCTTGAGCAGGGAGAGTAGAATTGGAGATCTGAACTTATAACCTCCATCTGTTTTAAAAATGCAGAAAGGACCTGTGCATGTATGCAGTCCACCGGATGTCCACCAGATGGTAGGACAAAAATCAGATGGACATTTTACTGAACATTACTGGTGTGCCACAAAATGGGTGAACCTTGCAGGCATGCTGGTTTTGTGGGCGTGATTCCTGATGTGTCATTCTCAATCACCCTGGTCACCGTTGTCACAAAGGTGCTTTTTTCCTAAAAGGCAACTGGACTTCCTTAGTTTTTTTTCTTCTTCTTTGAAAACGGTTTGCTTTTCATTCAAGGAGCTTCTTGGATGAGAAGCAAAACATTTTCAAAGGAAAAACAAACCAAGGAGATCCAACTGCCTTTTGAAAAAAAAAAAAGCACTTTTGGGTTGCTCTTAGAGGTTTTCTTCCTTGTGCAAAAAATAAACAGAGATATGGGAGTATATTTCCATACATTTCTTAACTTTTTCTCACTGTGAGCACCATCCAGGAGTAGAGATAAAGTAATTTCAACCATGATCTCATGCTATATTTTAATAAAATCCAGCACGCCAAGAAAAGAAGATCTGCTTTAAGAGTATCAGTCAAAAGAAAGTATATGTAACAATCTTGAAGTTGCTTTTCATTTGCCTTCTTGTTAATTTTCACCGTGATTATGATTATATACTGCTGTTCTTGCTGTTACTAGCAAGCAGTTGTGTATTTTGTAAATGTATTCCCAAATCTTCAGAATTTATTTTCCTTTTCAACAGTGGTGGGATTCAACATTTTTTACTACTGGTTCTGTGGGCGTGGTGGGTGTTGTGTGGCTTGGTGGGCGTGGCAGGGAAAGGATACTGCAAAATCTCCATTCCCTCCCCACTCCTGGGGGAAAGTTACTGCAAAATCCCATTCCCTCCCCACTCCACTAACCTGCTTTCCAGCTCCGTTCTCCTGTGAGGGCAACCAAAGAAGTCACAGCCAATCAGCTGGGACTCAGGAGGCAGAGAATAGATGGCCAGTCAGAAGTGGTATTTGCCGGTTCTCCAAACTACTCAAAATTTCTGTTACCGGTTCTCCAGAACTGGTCAGAACCTGCTGAATACCAACTCTGCTTCTCAACTCCTGGCCCTCTTTGGGAAGTGCAGCTCTGTAATGCACAAAGATTATTTGAATTCTTTCTGGTCTCTGGACATGTAATCCTGACTTTATAACAGGCAGTGGAAGATTTGTGTTGAGAACACCGGTGCGCTGTGACTGTGACATTCCATTAGAATTTGTCCAAAATTATCCCATGCACTGCAGGAAGACACAAATCTCCATTTTCTTAGTTCCTCCCAATGTTGTATCCTGTCGGCCACCGGCCCCTCCAGCAGCTGAATCAGAAGAGAAGGAGGAGGCCTGGGAATCAGGGTGAGCATCAAGGCAACTTGAGAGCTCTGAGGGGGAAGAGAGAATGGAGCTGGCAGAGAGGGAGAGAGAGAGAGAGAGTCAGTCAGAGGCGGAGCCTGGACCATCCATCAGCCCTCAGTTGGAGAGTCAACAGCCCCCAGGTCTGGAGGTGGCTGATGAAGAAGAGGAGGAACATCTGGGTCCAGGGCCTGATGTGCAGATGCACAGAAGGCAGAGGAGAGGAGAGCAGTGGAAATCTATGGGCTGATCCTTGGGATGGAAGACCCAACCCTGCTAGCGAAGCCCCACCTTAGCTCTGGGGATAAAAGGCAGAGATGTATATATGTGGCAGGCAACTCTTCATCTCCTAGCCGGCCAGACCTGTTAGCCCATGAGAGAAACTTTTTATCAGGTCTGCCAGCATTCCTAACAAATAAATTTTTGGAGTTCACATCAGAGGATTTGTCATGTTTGGGGAGCTGGATCAGAACATCCAAGCTCAAAAGATCTTGTTACAGGCATGTCTCTTAAAGACCAGTGTTTATCTCTGAAATTTTATTTTTCCCCAGGATAAATTTTACGTTCCGCCTGCCATCCACAGACACTCAATTTATATCGAGAACTTGGCTAACCTTTCATCTACTGTACCCTTGTTAGACACCTATATGAGCTTCTCACAAGGGGACAGAAATATAACCAGCACAATCATGTTCTCCTCGTGATACATTGGGAACTCTTTTGAGGCAGATCATATATTTGGGCTAAAGACTTATTCCCGTATAAAATGTTTGGGTGCGGTGATCCCTATTAGCCCAGATGGCGTGATGTCACAGGATGTTTACTAATCTCTCGCTTTTAGTGGGGATATTCACGAAGCCCAGCTTTGAGAACTGGGAGTGACGTCAGCTGAGGAAATATCTGCAGAGAAATCGCCAGGTTTTGCAAGACATTTTCAGCACAGCCTTGACTGAAAAGCTGCACGTTGAGCCCTTTACATCGTGTGCTGCTCAAAGTTGTGATTGGTTTTCTTCCCTCTGGCTTTGCTTTATGTTCCAGGGTGAATCGGTTATAAATTAGATACTTGATGTGATTTAGGTCTTGACACTCTCAAGAATTCAGCTTCCTGTAAATAAGTGTGAATTTAGCAGCATTCCACTCAAAATGAAAAAAAGGGCTTCAGATTTTTGTGGAGTAAAAAATGTTCTCCGTAGATGAGCGTTTGAATTATGTGTAGGTTATCTTCTTCTTCTTTTTTTTTCCTATGGGTCTTTATGGCTGATAGGAACCCATGACATCCACAGGCAAGGTCTTGGTGCAGAGGTACTGCAAACACAACCTGATGGAGAGAAGGATACTGATGATCTCGAGAACTTCAGAAAGCTAAGATGGAAAGTGACAAAATGTAAACCTGAGAGCTGGAACCCATTTTTCAGAGGCTGCACCAGAGAATATTCTTAAGCTGCAATGTCCTGTTAAATCTCCATAAAGGCCTGAAAACTGGAGTATGTGTAATCTTGCTATAAATTGTAATAAAAATCACTCGGTAGACATGGTATTATGGCCATTAAGTTCACAGCCATTTGCTGCTGTGTACATAAAGTTTTATGGAATAAATTGAGCACTTTTTTTTCTCCCCACTCTGAAGCAAGCTGCTTTTAATTTAAACTTTGATTGGTAATCATCAAGTATTTTCCTAAGAGCAAGTCCGTTCATCATGACGTTCTGTAGAAAAAGAAGGGAAGGAAAGAAGGGAAGAAGAGGGGAAAAAAGCTCTGG